AGTAAACTGAGATCAGACTAGAGTTAAACTGAGATCAGACTAGAATAAACTGAGATCAGACTGGAGTAAACTGAGATCAGACTAGAGTAAACTGAGATCAGACTGGACCGAGATGGTCTGGGTAAACTGAGATGGGGCTGGGGTGAACTGAAATGGGGCTGGAGTGAACTGAAATGGGGCTGGAGTGAACTGAAATGGGGATGGGGTGAACTGAAATGGGGCTGAGATCAACTGAAATGGGGCTGGGGTCAACTGAAATGTGGCTGGGGTTAACTGAAATGGGGCTGGGGTGACACTGAAATGGGGATTGGGTCAACTGAAATAGGGCTGGGGTCAACTGAGATAGCGTGAATTTCGGCTGGGATGAACTGAGATTGTGCTGGGGTGAATCTATATGAGGCTGGGGTGAATCTATATGAGGCTGGGGTGAAATGAGTTGGGGCTGGGGGAGTAATTTGAAGTGAGATGTGAATGTGAAAAAGTAATTTGATTGTAATGGGAGAGTACGATCGCTTGTGCCAAGACGGCATAGACCCAGAGATGCGAGCTTGCGAGCCGAACTCTAACACAAGTTCGGATCTACGGGTTTACACAGTCCAGCCAGTTGTCATGGCAACATACCTGACCAGCCCACTCAATCAATCAATCTCAAATTACCATGATGTCACATCTGACGCCATTTGTATTGACAGTCCAAAGCCTTGCTGCTGACCTCCCGTCCAATCAGGCTCAAGATAAAATGTGCTTTGATAAATAGCATTTCATAACAACCAACCAACCAATCAGACAGAGCAGAACATGTAAAATGTTATAAGGCTGCAACATTCACAGTGCCAGACTTAATTTGACCTTTGACTTGGCAGCTGGTAGACTTGTTTTGACCTTTGGCCCGACAGGTGGTAGACTTGTTTTTACCTTTTACCTGGAAGACAAACATAAATCTGTTAAGTATGATGTAATGTTTACATCTGTAGAGACACTGAATCATTTCAGTTGAGAAAAAATCTTGTGTTTTTTTTATCAATCAATCAATCAATCATTAAAAATAAAAATAAACAGATTTTAGAATTAATCATTTCATTATTTATATTAAAAAAAATTCACTGAATGTTTGATGCTTTATATTACAGAGAATGTTTTAAGAGATGTGTATGAAGCTAGTTACAGCAAAGTGTAATGGTGTGAACAACAGGAAGACATGATGAAATGAGAGTATGACAATATGTTAATGAGACCAAGTAAGTAGAATAGAAGTGACTGACTAGTAACAATTGTGGTAATTTTAAACCACAACTTATTGATATTTTGTTAATGAAAGCTTCCATCAAATAAATGATAAAAACAAATAAAAATTGAGGATACTCTATGGAAACAATGATGAAGCCCTTGTTTGGTGGCCATTTTAAATACATTGTAATGGACAAAATACGTATTTTTCAAAACTGGTTTGGGTATTGTTATTAGTTATTCAATCACATTATGAATAGTATTTTATAGTATTTTACTAAAAAAATCCTCTGGTAAAATACAACAAGGCCTGTATTTGGGAGCTACAGTCTCAATATTCATGAGTGAACGTTATTTGAGCAAATGACAAATCAGCACTTGTTTTAGAATGAGGGCACTGATCATCTGCTTTTACAAGTAGATTGATTGGTTATAAAAGGGAGATGCTGATTGGTTCCCTGTTATAAAAGGGAGATGCTGATTGGTTAATATGCTATTCTACCGATTTCTACACATTAGGCGTACTTTACTGAACTTTCTAAAACTGACCATTTCATACAAAACTCAATGTAAAGAAATTGATAGAGTTATGAAAAGATTTCTTATTGATGACATGGATTGTAGAAAAGATTATGGATTGTAGAAAAGATTATGTAGATTACATTTATTTCCTGCATTTACTTTAAGTTGAAAGAATCTTTTCTTTTTGTATTTTATTTAAGTTTTAAAAGTTTCATTTTTTGTACTTTTTTTAAATTTTAAATTGTCTGTTTCTTTTTTCATTTATTGCAGCTTCTAATTAAAAAAAAAATAAATAAAAAAAATAAACAGTATCTCGTCTCTCCTCTTTTTCAAAAATAAAAATTGGCCTTTTGTGGGGACAAAACTTAAGGAAAAAAACAAAAAAGCAATATTATTAACACATAAGAGATTATAAAATAATTGAATTGTGTTTATTTATGTATCCTGTTATGATTTATTCCTGCCTTCACTACATCTATAGATGAATGGAAATACGTATGACAGGAACTCCTATTAAATAAAACAGGTCAATCACCTTGTAATTGGAACAAAGGTCGCTCACTGTCTGCACCAGACAAGTAATTTAAGAGTTAGTGGACTGCTTAAAGAAATGCCATAAACTTTATAACCAAGTATATCTTAATTCAAGCTGTGTATCATCCACCAATGTATAATCATAATGCACATCAAAAAACAAATAATTATGATAGCAATAGAAAGTTTTTAAAAAAACGTTATTGTTAGTGACTATTGTAGAGTGCATGTTAGTTACATCGGTTAATGACAAGATGGCGCCACAATGAACTGCCAGTTATTGATGTCACAATTATAGTAAACACATCAGTGTGATTAAATATTTGAAACCTTTTATTCCAATTCTCACTTTTGGTGTCACTTATGTAAGTTATTTATATCAAGTCTTCTGAAACAAAACTAAATTTACCTTTATATTATACATCTGTCAGTTGTTCAAACAACATCAGTTCCCGCCAAAATGTTTTTATAATATTTCCCTTATTTTTTGTTTTTTTATTCCAATTATTTCTTGTTTTTATAATATTTCTATTATTTCATGTTTTTATAATATAGCATTATTAATTTTCACTCAATTTACAATTGTTTATTAAGCTTTAAGCACACAGTATATCAATCAAATATTACAGAAATTGAGGTCAGTTTCAACGACAGTGTTTTAAGGGAGCGAGAAGGGTTTTGTGACATTTTCGAATAAAACATTCTCTGTCTGTTGTCTCATTCAGAACAGTAATTTAGCTTATATATTTCAAAAGACTAACTATAGAGGTACAAGTTCGCACAAACTGGACAGTCATTGTTTACATAATTATCACGTGACATCAAAAATGGCGAACCTTGTCGACTAAGCGAGAGCACACTGCGGAATTTCCTGGTGAAATTTACGTCATGCATTGTCCATAATCAAGTGCATTGAAATGTGTCCCCGGTAATCAAAAGACCTATTATTCCGATTTCTATGCAGGTTTGTTTTGTTGTCCTCAAATTGTTTCATACTTGGCACCTTTAACAGACTATTATTCTGTGACAAAGCATTTTCTTTAAAAACCCAGACATATTTCGCACCATCATTATCTTTTGAATGATAACTGCAAGATTGAATGCCCTAGTTCGAACGCACTTGATTTGGCGGCGGTCCCAATGAGTCGTACTCAATCAAAACTTCAACTCGAGAAAAACGCGAAAAACAGTTTTGATTAATAGAACACTGTAGATTTGCTGCATTATTATAAATATACACTAAAAATGGCCAAACATATTAACCACTGATATCATAGAACTCATAACGAGTGTCAGATCATGAATAATTTCAAGCTTGAGCGTAAAAAATGAAGAA